CCTCGTGTCAAACAGAGCCAGGGGAGAAAACAAAGATGAGCCACAACGGCCCTCGCCTAATCTGCTCAGAAGCAGATAGGGTCATCTCAACCTTCTCATTCGATCCTAACCTCGAGCCATGCCCACAGAATCTCCATCGAGGGGAGGCCAGCGGGCCACCTGAGTCGGTCTACGGAATGACCCGGGCATCTGCCAGGACGAGGGTTAAGGAGCAGTGGAATGCCACACGAGGGCTATGCCGACTCCATCACGAACGACGGACCCGAATTCCACTCGGATGCACCCGTTAGTGAGCTCACCGAGCGCGTCCCTTGAGCCATCGAGGCAAGCAACGTTAGCTCAGCCCCTCTGGTTATAGAAACCACAGATGGGGTAACATATGGAACTAGACCCACCCCTACCAAGCCCAACAGGGCTCAGGGGCTTAGGTCGCCCGACGCCGACTCGGGAAATCAACCGATCGCACAGGTCACGGGTGGGACAAACAGGGCGAACACCCTGAACGGCAGTCTGCGGCCCCAAGAAAGAGTACTAAGATGCTCAGCCTCCAACCGACTCACCAGTCAGACGCAGGCTCGGGGGCTACACCCGTGGTGCGCTCACGCCCACCCGCTGTCAAAACAAAAAATCCCCCAGACGATTCTACCCGAATCACCCGGGGGCTCGGGGGCTCCTATTGGGTTCATAAACCTAGGGTCCCTAATGGACCTGCTTCCCAGCAAAAGCTCGGCCCAGCAGACGACGTTGCGAATGACGCGCAACTCTAGGGCCAGCCCAGATACCTAACGACAGGCCGGAAGAGCGATCTAGTCTCCGATCGGAAGGCCTGGCCAAGGAGGGACGACGCTCGCTTCCGACTCCAACCCGTCTCTCCGACCAGAAGGCCTAGCCAAGGAGGGACGATGCTCGCTTCCGACTCTGACCCGCCTCTCTAACTGGAAGGCTTGGCCAAGGAGGGACGACGCTCGCTTTTGACTCTGACCCACCTCGCTTCTCCAACCGAGAGTACACCAAACCTCTGCTTACAGCTCTTCTCCGACCGACGCGATCGGAGCCGACTGGGAAATGACCGAACAGGGACGCCCGCTCGGTAAGGACACAAAGAATCAGGTGGAGCAAGTAAGGCGGGGCTCTCCAGTCAACCGCAATACCGAAGACCGTGCCCTGCACACCTGCAGGACAGTGATGTCAGGTCATGTCAGAAGGGTGCTCCGCAACCTCCCAGACGTATTAGAACACGAACAGTGTTATGGGCGCCGACATTTATCCTACAGTATGGTAGGCGCCGACATTGGCCATACCAGAAGATCACGATGGAGCCTACCACATGCATCTGGGCGTCAACAGTATTGTGGGCGCCCACAAACCACCTTGTACCCGACGCCGTGGGCAACAAGACAGGTAGCAAAAACACTCTCTTTCTCTCACACACTCTCTCTCTTGTAAAGCTGTCCTCTTTATCTATAAAAAGGGATGCACTCTCTCCAAAACGAGGACGATTCCGACGAACAACAGACGGGTAACTCCGATTCTCTCTGCTTGGCTCTAGAACTCTAAAGCCACACAAAGCATACGTTCAAACACTTAGCGCACGTCGGAGCTCGTGTCACTCTTGGCCCTTCGGTCCGAAGTCCGACCGGACCTCTGATACCCCCATCTTACTCTCTCTCATTTGTAACCCCACAGCAAACTTCGAGCACCTAGGCTCAGCAATAAAGTCACCGACCGACTCAAACTGGACGTAGGGCACGTTGCCTGAACCAGTATAAACCCTGTGTCATTGAGTGTTAGGCCACATCCGATCACAACGTACGGCAAAACTATAAATATTTACATGTTGGTCACTTTTCGCACCGACACAATGTGAGGGGGTTATTATGAATTATGTTTCATAATGACAAAATAGGTAATCTAGATACAAATTTAGGGGGTTATTTTGAATTATCTTTTGTAATGGCAGAGGTGGGTAATTTATATGCAAAATTAGGAGGTTACTTTAAGTATTTTTTATAATGGCAAAGGTGGATAATTTTTTTTTATAAATTACAATAGATTCAATGGCTATTATCGGAGATGATGATTAGAGTCTACCAAATTAAAGGCCAGATGTTTCTGATTATTGTGAGAATTTCTAGAATTTATCTTTTTTCCTAGCGCGTCTGGTAAGAGTTAACGTGGTGCCTTATGGTTAATCTTTTTTGAACAAGTTTCATGGTAAATTTGGGCCACCACTAATTAAAAGTTCTTATTTTTCTTCTCTCATTTACTTATAACACAATATCTGCATAGATATCACATGTTCTGTCCAGTAGCGGTAGATTTTAGCTACCAATTATTGTATGTGTTTTTCTGTACTCATTTATATATAGTTTTTTCACCTCACACCGCACCTTCGTATGTCTGAAATATGTTTAAAAGAAACATTTAGCTTGAGATATGTAAAATCTTGCTAGAATCCATCGGATTCTCAATCGTAATCTTACTTTGAATTATTCATATATCAAATTACTAATCATGTATATGGGGTCCCCATGTATACTTTAAGTTTTTCCATATAATAATAATAGCAAAATTGGGTAAGTTGGATGCTCAATTAATGATAGTCTTATTTTCAATAATGATGTGATTTAGACAAAAAAATTAGAGGTATTTAGATTACTTTTCATAATAACATATATGGGTGTTATATAGATTATTTTTATAATGACAACGTTAATTTAGAAACAAATTAGATACAATGGTATTGCTGCTAACAATGATCAAACCTACATAATTAATGGCCAGTTGCTTTTTTTTAAGGATCTATCTCTTCTCTAACTCGTCATGTGAGGATCAATGTCACAATGTGGGTGCTCTAAAAGTATCCTCTAATCAGTAAGAACTATTCCATCAAATCATGCTCATGCTCTTGAACGAGCAAGTAATAATAGGCGACATAAGTATTAAAATCAATCAAGACCCGTAGTCAACCAGAATTGCTTTTTTTTGTTCTCTCGCATTTGTTCTACACAATAAAGTAGCCTGGTCCCTGGAATATCTGCACCTTTGTCATCAATCTAGAAGAGAGATCATTATTCTTAAATTGGATTTTGAAAAGGCCTTGGATAAGGTTGAACATGAGTTGATGATTAAGATAATGGAGCATAAGGGTTTTCCTGATAGATGGATTGCTTGGATGAGGCTGATTTTCAACTCTGGTACTTCAGCTGTCATATTTAATGGTGTATCATGGAAGATTGCTTGGATGAGACTGATTTGAGAGAGAACGATGTTAGCAAGTACGGAAGCTACAGTACTTTAAGAGAGAAGAATAAACGTCTGCAGCAGCCGCAGCCACCTATTCTTGCAGTCGAACACCCTCAGTGGATAGAATTTCTAGAGGTTGTTGCATGACATAGATCGAAGCCGCCAATAACCTTGTGTGATAATATATATTCTTAAGTCACTTGTCCATACTATGGAAGATTGATTTCCAGCATCACTCGCCCATTAGTTTGGGTCAAGGCACTAATCCCCATTCCTAGCTATGCCTATATGCTTAGCTTATCCATTTGACTAGCTTGAGCGACAAACTACGGTGTGTGTCAAAGCGCACAGCGGCGCAGGAGAGAGTTCGCAGCATCTCCTGTGAGTGCGATTAGGAGAGTTCCAGGATACCTCTTTTGTGAGTGGTATCCGCCACGTGGCATGGTTACAGTAACAGATGAATCTAGAACGCACTCATTCTAGCCGAGTGAGCCTCGGGGCTCTGGAATTGATTTTCTTTCCTCTTCCACGTAGTTTCACAATTGATTTTTATTTATAACCTTCTTCAAAATTATAGTGAGATATGTTGATTAAGCACTGCATTTCTTTTCAAAACTGTACCCGTCATACTTGAAGGGAAACCTACCACTCTGTTTCCATCAGGGCACCAGGAGAACTGACACAGGGTCCCACTAACAGTAACAGACAAGCTGGGAAAGGTCCTACATGGCAGCAACCCAGCACCAGCTGCTCCCAGGGCTCGAGGATATTTTTGTCCGTATGCCACCATCCCAACAATTGACAGAGGCAAGGCCACCACGTGGCGACGTATGGTTGGCTGCTCGATCGCGTGCTGGGAGACCACGACCTGTGACTCTGTGAGTAAGGATGGCAACGGGGCGGATTCGGATCGGGTGGAGTCTCTGTGCACCCAAACCCGAAACCCAAATCAAAACCCGAAACCGCACCGAACACCAATTCGGGTGATAATCCGTCCCTAAAACCGAACCCGCGGATACCCGAAACCCGAATGGATATCCGAAACCCGCTTTGTATGGCAACATAGTAAGAGAAATAAGGACTTTTTATAAACATATGCATGATATATATACACATATTCACATGTATAAACAAGAGACAACAAATAATAAATATTTTCATGAGTCAACTTAGAATAAATTTAATAATATAAGTAAATAAGTTATTATTAGCATATTATAAAACATGATTTTTAATTCCAAATGATTTATTTCGGATATCCATTGGATATCCACGGGTGAAAAACCAAACCCGAAACCAAACCCGATTGGTTTCAGGGCTCCGAACCTAAAAACCGTGGCTAAGAAATCATCCCCGAACCCGAACCCACGAGACCCGAAACCCACGGATATCCGACCCGAAACCGTCCCGTTGCGATCCTTATCTGCGAGCGCGCCGGTCCGCCGCGAGGTCCCGAGCGCGCAAACAGGTCTCAACTTTTTGTACTGTATTCATGCATGTCTTACTAATCAAGCCATTTGTTAGTGGAAGACTTCAATCTTGTTGGGCTGAGAATAAGATTTTAAGAAAATTTATCCAAATTAACTCAGTGTGCTTCTTGACGCATGACGTGTTGAACTATAGCAATTGCGATTGTAATCAGAGTCATTGTACAACAGGCAACCTGAACTTACTGTGTGTTTCTTTAAAGCAGACAATTTTTCGACTTTCCTGTTTCGGTAAAAATTTCTTATTTTACTGCATAGGCTTATACAATGGAGTTAGAAGCTGAAGTTCAGAAACTCAAGGAGCAGAATCAGGAACTGGAGAGGAAACAGGTGTCTTTTCTAATTTTCTCTGCACACACTACAGTTTTTTAGATAAAGGACACACTACAGTTGCAGGTGCTAGATTTGCTACTTCCCGATGTTTTGATTTTTTTTAGATACGTAGCTTTTACAATGCACTTAGATATACACCATGACTAGATATACACTATGTATTTAGAAAAGTCAAAACGTGTTATAATTTGGAATGAAAAGAGTACTGCATTGCCTCTCGAGAAGCATTTATTTTTACTCATTCTGAAATGGGTGGTTTCAGCATGCCCCATGTTGCTGGCATCAATAGAGTTCCCGTGAATCATTCACTATCTACTCTACTCCTGTATTGTTCAGCGTGACAGCTATAGTACAGTGTGCATTTCCAAAAACAAAAAGATGCACCCTGTATATTTCTGGTTATCAATAATATGAGCATCTTTCAGTACATCATGGATCATGTTTTGAAGTGAACATTACCAAAGAAGGAACACGGTAACAGTTTTTCAGCATATAAATAGGCTTGACATCCGGACCACATTTCGTGTAGGAAACAGGTGTTGAACACTCTTAAGAATAGGCACACATTCTTGCATCGCGGACTCTGTTCTTTCTATGTGCTCATAGTACTGATCATTCATTTCTTTATAATGCAGGCAGAGATTATGGAAATGCAGAAGAACGAGGTAACCGTTATTCCAAACTTCCTGTGTTTGACCCCTGTATATTATATCACCGCTCTTTCTGTTTGCTAAAACTTTGACAAATATTCAGCCTATAAGCATACTACTTCTTTTACTTCGCCAATAACCAAAGATGAAAGAATGGCAAGAAGAAAAAGGCATATTATTCAAATATACTCCATTAGTCTCGCGTTGTGAGTTGCTAGCTGAGCAACCAATCACTAAATAAATTGGTTGTAGGATTCAGTTGGGGACTCACACTTGCAGAGTTTCTATTTAGTTCAACTTAACTTCAAATAGGCGTCAAAAAAATACTTAACTTCAAATATACTACATTTTTCCTTTTACCTCCTTTAAAAATATTTTACTGCAGTATCTGAAACAGTTTACAGATATTCAACATTGCTACCAGCACATATATAATTCTAGCTTTTCATAATGACCCACCTGTTTTTGCATTTGGTAATGATGATTGCAAATTTTGCTCGACAGGTACCAGAAACGTTGAAGGATCCATTCGGACGGAAGAAACGGCTGTGCATGCGAAGAACATTGACTGGCCCTTGGTGATGATTGTCTGGAACAGCAGATGACTTGCACTAGCTACATACCTGCAGTGGTGCTTGGGATCTGTACATAATTTCTCTCCTATAGACTAGCGATGAACATAGTCGGAATGATTGTACTGTTAGCTCCCTTCTGCCGCTTATGTAGTACAGCAGTACCATAGTGGTGGAATCGAAAATGTTACTAGAGAACCAAATGGAGTGAAGCCGGCCGCAAGAGTCAGCTTTACCATCCTCCAGTGCTTGTGTAGAGTTGCCTAGGTTTGCATCTTGCCAGAACATCGTATAGAGATTGGATGATTTTAAAAGATCGGTGACTGGGTGTAAGTAGATTGATGGGATCCAAGCATGTCAGCGTTCAGGATGCAGCCCGTCTTGACGACTGTATATCTGATGGCTATAGAGCAGTAGTATGCAAACTGTACCGCTGCTGCTTGTGTGTAATGGTGAAATCGGAATCCCTTATTTAGTTATTTGTATTGCTTAGCAAATATACTCACAAGGACTTCTAAATACCAACATTGAAGTGGCGTGAGTTAAGTTGTTTTTTGAGTTGTTTAGTTTGGTCGTTTCGACCAGGTTGGAGTGGCGTGAGTTAGTTGGGTCGATTGCACCAAGTTGCAAGTGGTCGCGTGAGCTGTGATAGTTGTATCAAAGTTGTATAGGATGAGTGTGACACTCTCCTCAGTTGTATGGTTTTTTTGGCCTAGTTTTCATTAAAAAAACTGAGCTAGCACTTGTCTTTTTTCTTTCTTCGTCTAATAGAAATCACGGCAAAGCTTTTGCCGTCCTTTCTTTAAAAAATACCAACCTTGAAAAGTTGGATAGAGTCTTAGTAAGTACATATTTGGGAGTAAAAATTCCCATTAGCAATGGTGCAAGCTTTAGGTAGGGGTATTTTATATTTTAGACCATTCTGGAACTTCTGCTCATCGTGGCAATCGATAGTTGTTGACATTTGAATTGTGTTGGTTAACATGGGAAGGGTTCTATATGAAAAAGTGCAATGTGTTTGGAATAAGGAGACAAGGGGGTCCAACTCAATGCAAAGATGGCAATGCAAAATACAATGTTTGCGTTAGTACTTGAGAGGTTGGGAAAGAAATGAAAAGGCAAAATTAGATGAGAGAAAGAGGTTATTACAACTAACAAGTTTTGTTGATGCTTTAGATAAGAAAGCGGAATTTTCCTTTCTTTTGCCAAGACAGGATCTATCATATGTTGAGGGAATAAGAGATTGCATTGTTTCAATGCTCCAAATCTAAAGACTTGTTAGATGGGACAATAATACAAAGTATTTCCAATCTATTGCAAATGGCAAGCATTGCAAAACTCATTTTCCAAACGGAACATGATAAAAGCACTAGGCCTGATGATTTTCTGGCAGAATTTTATCAAGTGTTCTGGGAGGTCATAAAAGTTTATTTGATGGCAATGTTTTATGACTTTCTTAATGGGAAACAACTTGTTTAGCCTCAATTTTGGAATTACTAACTTTACTCCCAAAGTGTCAATAAGAAACCCTAATATAACAATTCAGGCCAATTTGTTTGTTAAGTGCTAATTTCAAAACTTTTACAAAAGTGGCAATGATTAGAATAAATAAGGTTGCTCAAAAAGTAATTAGTCCCTCATAAATGACTTCCCTTCCTGGAAGATATACTTTGTAAAGGGTAGTCATTTTACACGAAAAAATCCATAAGTTACTCCATCCGTCCATGAAAAAATGTAACTATCGGATTTGTGCAAGTCAAACTAGCTTAATTTTGACTAAGTTTATAGTGAATAGAATTAACATTTATGTCTCCAACTGTGTTTACTACAAAAATATACATTATAATTAATTTAATGATACTTATTTTGTCAAACTTTAAACTGTTTGACTCTAAAAAAATGACAATTGCATCCTTTTATGGATGAAGGGAGTACATAGTAAAATAGGTCAATGGGGTCATTTTAAAGGTAGACTTTGAGAAAGTTTGATAAAGTCAAATGTCCTTTTCCGGAGCAAACTCTTTGGATGAAAGGTTTTCCACCATTGTGATGTCATTGGGTTCATCAATTTTGTTTGTGGTAGATGATCTTATAGGCTAAAAAACATGGACCCTAGCAAGGATTCAATGATTTTGGTGGTTGATTGGCAATATAACCATTTAGACTAACAAGCGTAGCTAGTATATAAGGTATATTGGTCCATAGGATGCCAAGATGGACTTGGCTAGACTAAGGTGAAGATTGAGGAATCAACACCACAAATGAAAGTCAAATAGGAGCAATGAAATCCCTGAAAAATGAGCAAGAAGTTCAAGACACAAAGAAAAAGAAGCCTAGACAAAGAGACGCGAAGAAACAACACTCAGAGACCACTAGAGTTTTCTGGTGGCACCATATCAGCTCTCCAGTGTAGCACCAGACAAACAATTAGACAAAAGACTTCCAATAATCAGTTCAACGACTAGCTAGTGATATTCTTTGTTTCCCTCTCTATCTTTGGATTCATCTAATGACCCAGGACATAATCCTGGATGTGAGGAGTAAAAATCCAAAAAAATTGAATTTTTTTCTTATAAAATTAAATTAGATTTATTTCGTACATTTATTTTTGAGAAAATCCAGGGTCAGAATTCCATATAGTTCGAAAGTCCCAAATGATCATACCATTGTTTCTGATTCACCAAACCTATTCTTATCTCTTTCTAAACGAATTAAAAAACAAAATAAAGAATAAAAAATACTAGAATTTTGGATTTTTCAAATTTCTCTCATTAAATATTCCAGTATTAAGAATGGGTTTAGTTACTTAAATTCAAAAAGCGAATCAAAGAATTTCGGTATCTAGTTATTAGTTAAACATATTTATTAAAATTTAAAAGATTGAATAATTTTATTTGTAATCATTTTTGTATTTCTTTCTGTTAAAATAAAAGCTCTCTTGTTTCGTAATTGATTGATTGAATTCCAAAGTTGACACTAGAAAATTTCACCAATCAATGGTTAATTTTTGCTATATGAATTAGTGCTTTATTCTCATAAACTTGTTGGCTATTCGTTAGTTTCTGCTTTATAGCCGGAGCCTGAAATTTGTAATTATGGGGGTGTTCGGTTACAGTGGCAGCCACAATCGCAGCTACTACAGTACCTCTATATCATTTGGGTCCATTAGTACTAAAATTATAGCTAGCTAATAGCTGCAAATTTTTAGCAGGATTCTGTTTGGATTCACCTGCTAATAAGTGGTTGGATATTGAGTTGAAGGTGCATATGAAATATTAGCACATATTAGCAACTCCAAGCATGCTAACAGAACAAATAGTTAACTTCCATCTAGCTAATAATTAGCAGATTATTAGCAGGTCTGTTTACTTCTATTAGTACTAATTTTTGCTTTTTGAATAGTACTAATTTTAGCCGCTAATTTTTAGTGCTAATAGATCAAAACAGGCTAAAAAAAACTAATGGTTATGGGTCATTGGGTCACCGATGAAATGGGCCGATCTGACATTGCTCCAAATACCGCAAGCAGCGGAGCCGTTCGTTCGTGGTGGTCTACTTCGACAATCTCTCTTACAGCCCACATCGATTCCGTTAGTCTCGGCCCAGCTTGCGCCCGTCGCAGCACCCAGTCGGGGATCGGACCGGCGGAAACTTTGTCACACACTCACAGAGAGAGAGAGCACTTCACTGCAGGGACGGAGGAAGTACACCCGTGAACACGGTTCACCGGTCATCATCCCGCCGACGATCCACCCTAGCCTCGCCAGCCAGCTAACTGCTAACCTACGATTTCATTCCCTGATCTATGTACTCTTAACGTATGCATATTTATATGAACTTTTCACACAAAAAAAAATCTACGAGCTACATATTCATGTAGCGCAACAGACCAACAGTGCACGATGGGATAGGATAGATTTTGCATCGGATGCTTTCCTGAATGAACTTCACAGTTCGTGTCATCATCGTGTGGCAACGGCAAACAGCTGCTCCCAGTCCCAGGTCACGACGATAAATGTTCAACATTGACGTCGAGTGATCTTGGACTTGATGCCACGATTTGAGCCGGATGCTATGCCGTGCGCTAGCACCGTGGGTGAGTGGGTCTACTCCCTCCATCCCATAATTATTTTCCTAGATCGCTTTTATTTTCCTAGGCAAAGAAAAAAAACAGTAGAGAAATTTATAGATTACAGTAGTGTAAAAATATCGCTATAGCATTTATACTGGTCAAACTCTCTTAAATTTGGTTAGATTTATATAAAATATTATGATATTTTATCTTCAAGTAAGTTTATTATAAATATATTCGATAAATGATATGAATTATGTACCTTAAATATTAATATTTTTATATATATTTAGTCAAAGTTTAAAATGTTTGGATTTTCAGAAAGTGAGAATGACATTGTTTTATGGGGCAGAGAGAGCATCTTACATTACTACCTCAACAGAGGCACCATGTAAATTCTCATTAGACATGTTAAGAAAAAACTAAATCCTAGAAATCCTTACAATAATCAGAAACATCTGGCTTTTAATTTGGTAGACTCTAATCATCATCGCTGATAATAATCATTAGAACAATTATAATTTATAAAAAACACCTTTATTATAATAAAAATACATAAATAAACCTCTCTTTTTTAAGGTTAAGCCATTCGGCAAGCTTTATTGATTCGAGAAGATAGTTACATCGTTTACAAGTAATTGGTGAATAGATGCAGGGGGATCATCTATCCAAACACAAGAGCTTTCCTCTACCATTGCTTGCCTAGGCAGCTCATGAGCTACTGAATTACTCTCCCTATTACAGTGGCTAATAAAAATTGCAGCAAAATCCTCCCAGAGCAGACAACATTCATCATATATTGCCGCCGAAGATATAGCTGAGAAACCTCCACCTAGCATTGTATCAACCACCTCCATACAATCAGCTTGGATTTGCACTCGATTGGAACCAATCTGTTGAGCCAGTAATAGTCCGTCTCTCAAAGCTGAAACTTTCGC